GAATTTAGAGAGATAAAGTACTTGCCAAAAGTCCTGGTTTAACCATTAGCCGCCCGGCCAATGGCTGTTTGGCGGCTTCAGTTGTGTATCTGCATTCCGGGTGCACGCCATTTGGCGTGCTCCCGCACATGCGCCGTTTGCGCTAATGCAGAGCGGCGCAGCAGTGCGATCTGTCACCCGCCATGCACCTTGGACACGGCCGATGACAGATCCGAGTACCGGCTCCCGTTGCCGGTACCATGTGACCTGCCGTGACCAATCACAGCAGGTCACATGACAGTTGTATACAATGGATGGCTTCATTCATGATGCCATCCATTGTATACTAGTGCCTAGCTGTGAATGGTCACAGCTAATCACATGCACATGTCATGTGATTAGCTGTGACCAAATCACAGCGAAGCACAAAAAAAAAAAAAAAAAAAAACCTGAATGAATCGATTTCATTCAGGTAAATGCTTACTTATAGCAAAGTAATTCTTTGCTATAAGCAAATTGTGTGTAAAAAAAAAAATAAAAAAAATAAATACAGATCACTTCCCCAAAGTAGTACAATGTTACTATGGTAACACCGCCATGCCAGTTATATGATGACGCTGTACTGCACTGGTGACAGTATGTAAAAAAAAAAAAAATAGTGAAAATAATTTTTTTAATTTTTTCATTTTCCGAAAAATTATGACAAAAAAATACAACTTCAAAACACTCGCCATGCCTCTTATGAAGTACGTCGGACTGTCTACTCTGCAAAATGGGGTCATTTGGGGGATATCTGTACTGTTCTGACATTCTTGGACCTCAAGAAATTAGATTGGCTGTCAGTAGTTCAGGATTGATCAATATTCAGATCTATACCATAGTTTGTGAACTCTATAACTTTCCTACAAACTAAAAAATACATCCTAATTTGGGTTATTTTCACCAAAGACATGTAGCAGAATACATCTCGGCCTAAATTTATGAAGAACAATTATTTATTTGTAAACTTTTATAACAGAAACAAAGAAAAATGTGTTTTTTTTTCAAAATTTTTGGTATTTTTTTGTTAATTTAGCAAAAAATAAAAACCCCAGCGGTGATTAAATACCACCAAAAGAAAGCTCTAGTTGTGTGAAGAAAATGATCAAATTTTAGTTTGGGTACAATGTTGTATGACCGCGCAATTGTCATTCAAAGTGTGAGAGCGCTGAAACCTGAAAAATGGCCTGGGCAGGAAGGTGTAAAATTGCCGGTATTGAAACGGTTAAGCAGCTTTCAAGTGTCAGCGCAAAAGGGCTGTCTCCCAAAGTTGGTTCCAATGTTACAAGGGAGAATCTTCAACTTCAACTCAGCTTAGCTTTCTGCTCTCAGCGTAACAGCTTTTCTAGGAACTCAGCAGGGTGTCTCCTTTAAGCAAAGAATCAATCGCCTCATTTGGGGAGGGAGGTGTAGGTGGAGACCCCAGCTAGGACCAAAATCTCTCCTAGCTTATATCATGTCCCATAACTTACCCTCGGTGCATTTAGCAGCCTTGCCACTAGTAGTTTAATATGCAGAAGCATCTGCTGAACGTCTAGATATGAAATATGACATACCTGCTGTGACGGTTTAGGACAGGGGTCTGCAACCTTTAAGACATAAAGAGCCACTTGGACCCTGTTTCCGAAGGGAAAAAAAGACTGGGAGCCGCAAAACCATTGCAACATTTAAAACAAATCCGACACTGCATATATTGTTTCTTACCTTAATGCAGTGGTGGGCAACCTTTTTTTTCAACTGAGCCAAATCTCGCCAAAACCACGATTGAAATTTATTTTGAGAGCCACATTTTTAAAACTGAAAATACATCCCCCATATAGTAATTCATCCCCCATATAGTAATTCATTCCCCATATTGTGTCAATTCACTTACCTTTGCTCCGCGCGTTCCTCTCGCCGTGTTCCCGCGCCGTTCCGGTCTTCAGGGCGGACTGTGAGAGGAGAGGCGTTCGTCACGCTGCCCCGCCTACATCCTGACAGCCAATGTTTGCCACGCCCCGCGGGCCGGATTAAAAGGTCCGCCGGGCCGTAGTTTGCCCATTGCTGGGCTAGCTACAGAGTCCTGACTTTTGAGGCGGCCGCCCGAGAGGAGGGAGGGGAGCGGGCGCCCGGCACACAGAAGAGCCGCATTAAAATGTGTAAAGAGGCCGCATGTGGCTCGCGAGCCGCGGCTTGCCGACCACTGAGCTACGGCAACCCTATTGCCTGTCACCTGGTGGGCAGTGTGCTCCGAAGCCGCAGCAAAGGTGAAAAAGAGCCGCATGCGCTCTGGAGCCGCGGGTTGCCGACACCCGGTTTAGGAGATACAATTTTCTGCTCTCCTGTAGATGTCAGCTAGGGGGTGTAATATGTCAAGCGACTTGTATTAAAGTGACCGATCTGAATTTATGCCTGTTTTTTTATGTAAGTCTTTTATATTCCAAGATATGAAATCATAGGGGAAAATGGATGTTGAATGTGATGTCTGCTTTACGACTACCTGGAATGTCTTTGAGCTCAGTGAAAGACTTGGTTTATGGCTTTATGATCCTTTTCCAGCAAGAGTCTCGCAGACATACGGGGGCCAGGCTAATTCGGGTTTATAGCCATGACGCCCTCCCAAGGTGTTTGCTGCCTGTGATCTCTGCATCAAACAGACCACTTGTCACTCAACAGAGAGGGAGGGGGGATTTGGAGAAGAAGAGAGAGATACAAGATGGAGGGTTTGGAGCAAAATGGATGATGTCCATCTCTGTGTGCACGATTGCTACAGCATTCACTATCTGGTCTCCCACAGTACACAACATGGAAATGAAGTTATTTTAGTAAATATAAACTACTAAATACTTTCTCTCATTAGCAATTAGAGCAATCCTGAGACTTCTATTAGTGTCCAGAAGAGCACTGGTTAAAGCTTGTAGAGGAGGAGTTTTAATTTTGCTCTAGGAAGATGCAGGACCCATGACCTCGATCTGGACAGTGCTCATTGGCTCTGTGCTGATCACATGCACTCTCCCAAGAAAAAAAACAAAACCTTTAGCAATACACACCAAACTGAGCATGTGCACAGTGTCTCCACACGATATGTCTTATCAGGAGATAAGAGGGGTACACTGGAAAAAGGGGAAGATCAGAGAAGTTGGGATCAAATAGTGATTTTACTCAATGCAGAGGATTAAGCTCTTAGGTTCCACAGTGAGTATAACAAGCATGCTTTGCTGCATATACAGACTGATTTTATTGTTGTGGGTTTAGTAACACTTTAAGCACCTCCTACTGCTTTCTGCCTTGGGCCTCTTTCGACGAGGCAGAATCCGCTTGTTCAGTGGGAATCTGTCCACTGATCCCCACGTGGAGCGGTTGGATGACATGTCTATGTCCTCTGCCTATGCACAGCCCATTCTACTCTATGGAGTGGTGAGATGGAAATGGACCGGTTGTCCGCTTACACCTGACTGCCCTCTGATTTGATTTACCCAGATGGGAATGGATCTCCTTCCATTTTTTTCCTTTTTTTTTTGTGGATCAGATTGGATTGGGAGGTAGGTGGATGTAAACAGACACAAGTGTGTTTACATCCACTGCTTCATAGAAGTGAACAGAGGGTCTGATCAGGTCCTCCTGAGAACCAGAGAGGCAGGAACGGTCATGTGAAAGGGGACTTATTCTTCTCTGCTGGCTGCCTGCAGGTCCGTAGAAGGAATTGGAGAGGTCTGTCTCGCAGCTTGTATTTGACCCCGTGATTTCTAGTAGTGGCTCTGATCCTGAGTATCTGTCTCTGTTGACTTCCAATATCAGAAATATTTTCACTCTTGTTTTATGCAGTGAAAATACAGAGGAGACATCAGCTTATGCGGCTCTTGCTCCCTACTACAGCTCCAAATTTACAAGTAGTCCCTCTGCATTGCACTCTGCTTGATGCTCTGGGATGGCGGGTCAGCAAACCCCGACTGCAATCTACCAGTCCACGATCTACAGGTTGCTGACCTAAAGGAATTTCACTGTACTGCCATATAATACGAACAGGTTTTTGTTCATTTTGAGAGAGTCATATCATCCTATAATGATATGATATGCAGCTATTCATGTGTTTATGTTCTATACTGGTGCCTTGGCTATCTTTGTGTTTTTTTTTCTTTATTAAAAGAAAAGGAAGAAAAGAAAGAAGAAAAAAACCTTTAACCACTTCAAGTCCGGACACTTTCACCCCCTTCCTGTCCGGACACTTTCACCCCCTTCCTGTCCGGACACTTTCACCCCCTTCCTGTCCAGGCCAATTTTCAGCTTTCAGTGCTATCACACTTTGAATGACAATTGCGCGGTCATGCAACACTGTACCCATATGAATTTTTTTGCATTTTTTGAGACAGATAAAATTTATTTTGGTGGTATTTATTCACCATTGGGATTTTTTTTTTTTGCTGTATAAATGAAAAAGTCCAAACATTTTGAAAAAAAAAGTGTTTTTCTTATACAATTTTGCAAATAAATAATCTTTCTTGGTAAATCTTAGCCAAAATGTATTCATCTATCCTTTTAGTAAAAAAAAAAAAAAATAGCCCAAATTAGTTTATAACCAAAAATTATAATTTTTCAAAAAATGTTTTGACATTTTAGTTTTTTTATATTTTTTGTTTTTTTTTTCAACATACTGTCACCCTAGCAGTACAATATCACCATGTGACCTCTATGATCATTCACAGATTTCACTAGTAGTAAGCAATGATGTAATTAATAAGTAACATCTCGCTTACTACTATTTATGTGATCACTGATTGGACATTCAGTGATCACATGGGCCGGACGGGAAGTGGTTAAAATAAGATTACCAATAGAAAGTGAATGGCAGTAGGTGGCCGGCTGTTCAAGGTTTCTGCTTTTATCTCCCCTTATCGGTTCCTCTTTTATGTATTATACAGGTTAATTTTCAGTCTTGACTTTGACTACTTTCAATTCAATGACATACAAAATGTGCATTTTTTTCTATTCCAGGGTCTCACCAGATGCTCCTGCTGGCCGTGTTTGTTACTCCGCTCAATGATCTTACTAGTGACTTCTCCAAATTTCAGGAAATGATTGAAACCACTATGGACATGGATCAGGTATGTTGTCTGTACTAAATATTTCTGTCGAACTCTGGAGCACCTTCTATTTATGGATGCAAAGGTGCTGAATATCTGTAAGGAGTTACTGTTGGCATTATGAACGTAGCAAAGCAGAGATTAGTCAATGAGCACACAGAGCACGGCTTGGGATCGAGCCTGCATGAGTGCTCCCATAGCAAATGGCTCTCTCTCTCTACTCATTGTACAGAGACAGCAGCAGGAGCCATTGACTCCTGCTGCTCGCTGTCAATCACAGCCAGTGAGGACAGAGCAGGGCCGAGCCGAGCTCCACGTGTTAGTGGACACACAGTCTGCTCGGAAGTGCTTCCATAGCAAGTGGCTTTCTGTGAGCACATTCAGAAGGGGGGGGGGGGCCAGGTGTGCAGGTGGGAGAAACCTAGAAGAGGAGGATCAGGGTGGCTCTGTGCACAACCATTGCACAGAGCAGGTAAGCATACCAGGTTTGTTATTACAAAAAAAAAAAAATTAAAGCAGAACTTTACTCACATAAACAATGTCTTACTTTGAAACCTCCCTCCACAAATGCTGATCATTTTTATATTATTACTTTTTTTTTTTTTTTTTTACCTATTCTGCTTTCTTGTGCTGTACTTCCAGGTTTCCAGCCTAGACCTGGCCCTGTGGCCACCTCAGATTGCTACGTCACAGCACCTGCAGGGGGCAGTGTGCTACTAAGCTGCAAGTGTGTACATGGACGGCAGATGTCCGTGCATTCTCACAAATGGAGAGCACAACAGTCAGTGCCCATCTGCCAGACGCTGGTGGCATTTGTACTCATGCATGGAAATCAAGGGGGCCATGAATGCCGAACTCAGAACACGACTAGCAAACGGCATGTACACAGATGCACCGGTCTCTTCCAGGCATTTGGGAGCAGTCATAAACCAGTGGCACATCTGTGCATGTGCCATTTGCAGGCTAGCTTGCCACGTCGTCGTCTGTGTTCGGCATCTTTAGCCACCTTGATTGACCAGCCCAGAATGATATAACCTATGTGCAAGTTAACTCCTCCTGGCATGCTGAGAATGTACACGGAATTGCTCATGTGCAGCTCAGTGTATATTCTAAAGAATCTTACATACAGGAAAGTAAAAGTCCTTTATTGCAGAAGAGACAATATGGTGGAAATTTAACAAAACTGCATGGTGCAAAATCGAGTGCAGGGGTAGGCAACCTTAAATAGGTGGCGATCTACCTGAGTCAAAGATCATCGGGCACAGTGTCGCCTCCTCACACCTGATTTAAATCTCTAATTGCCGTACTACCGTGTCACAATCACGTACATTGTACGGCAATCATGGGTTTAAATCAGGTGGTGAGGAGGCAACAAAACGCCAAAACATATCCAAACACATATCGTCAAACACACTCGGATCGCATTGCAGAGAAATAGCACTGCCTTCTGCACTTGTGACTGAGCCCTTAGTTGCATCCGGAAGTGGCACTCTTTGCACTAATTCACATTTAAAATGGGGGGGAGGGGTGTGGTAAAACCCTGCAGTTGAGTCAGTTTTACTACCCCCAACCCCTACCCCCTTTAGATACTGAGGTACCAGGTAAAGGTGTACACATGCCACACAGGAATTACACCCCCCGTTGCTTTTAGTGGGTGCTGCCGCCTGTCAACCAAGACCCATTCAAGTAAATGGGTCCACTCTGCAAGTGCCACGTAACTGCATGCTTCTGCGGGGTCCAAGGGGTTAAAGCAGGTGGTGAGAAAACACACTACTGCCTGTTTAACCCCTTGTTTGCTGTACTGTACAAGGTTGCAGGGCACTTGCAGAGCGGCCTCGTTCACTTGAATGGATCATGCTTGGCAGGTGCTACACCCCCCATCCATGACAGGGCGTAGGAGCCGGCACTACAGAGAAGACATCAACTTATGCGGCTCTTGCTCCCTACTACAGCTCCAACTTTCTAAGTAGTTCCTCTGCATTGCACTCCGTTTGATGCTCTGGGATGGCAGGTCAGCAAGCCCAGACCAAGATCTACTGGTAGATCACAATCTACTGGTTGCTGACCCCAGATCTAGTGCATCTCTGCATTGAAAGCAATCAGCTTCCAGGCCTTATTGTTAAAGCTTAAAATGGAAGTAAACCCTAATTTTTATGTTTTACTTACAGGTAAGCCTTTAGGCTAGGTTCACATATGTGTGGGTGGTGCCACTGTGGATGTGCAAAAAAAATCTGTGCACCACCTGCACAGAGGAATGTGGACCCGTGGGTGGGTGCCATTAATTCTAATGGCACGCCGCCCGCACTGGAAATCTCAACCGTACTGGGAACTGAAGTTCCTATGCGGGCTGCATTTTCAGAAGTGCAGGGACTTCTTCGCTGCGTGTCCCCGGGCAATGGAGTCCATTCAAATGAATGGGCTCTCGTGTCCGCGCAAAATGCGGACCGCAGGAACGCAGATATGCGAACCGGGGCTTAATAAGGCTCACTTGTGGATACTGTAAATATCTCTGTCAGGGATCCAGGGGCCTCGGCGGTGCGCGCATGCGCAGAGCACCGACTTGTCCGATCCAGTGAGCACTGAATCCTAGGCGATCGCGGCCGCGCATGCGCACTAGCGATCGCGGGCCGCACCAATGAGAGCACAGGGCGGCCTATTTAAACCTGCCCTGTGCATCTCCAAATCGCCTTCTGGTCTTGTCCTGTTCCTGTGTTCCTGATTACTCCTGTGTTCCTGATACCTTGTTGCCGACCCAAGCCTGTTCCTGATACTGCTGCCTTCTCCTGCTCTGACCCCTGGCTAAGTCCTGCCTATTCTCTACCTGTTCCTGATTGCCTGACCTCCTGTTACTGAACCCGGCTTGTGACCTGTTATTCTTCTGCCTGCCGCTCTGCACCGTCTGCTCCGCTGTTACTGACCCAGCCCGTCTGACCATGCATACCTCTTCACGTCTGGCTTTCACCTGCTCTACGCCATTGGCTTCCGCCTCTACCACAGCTGGTGTTCCTCGGGAGTCGCGACCTGGTCTGAGGCTGCTTCAAGTCCATCCCCACCATCAGGGGCTCTGGTGAACCAGCAGACTGAGGCTTAAACTCCACGCCCTGAGGGATTCCGGCCAGTGGGCTGCTAGAGGCCACTCGGTTGCTGACAATCTCCTAAACGTTTAAGAGATATTTACTGCAGCAGTGCCGGTGACGCTGATGCTGTCCATTGAGAGAGGCGTGCCGCGGCTATAGTTCCTGTGTGCATGCTTGGGAGTGACATTACTGCAGCTCGGCCAGTCAAATGGCCACTGCGCATGAACCCAGAAGGACGCTGGAGGGCGTCGTTTTTCAGGTAAGTCTTTCATAATGTGCTAGTTTGCGATGCATACAGTATGAACACATTATGCTCTTAACTTGCAGGGAGAAGTTTTTTTATTTTTTTTTTTCCTGGCGGTTTTTCATTGCCTTAATTGAAGAAGCTGATTGGCTGCCATGCACAGCTGCACCAGATTCTGAGTGCTCCAGTTTTAGTAAATCTCCCCCGTTGTGTCTAGCTAAAAAAGAAGAAAAAATTTCAAGTAGGAAGATTTTTTTTTTTTTCCTTTTTAGCTAATTGTCTGCTTTAGGGAAAGCAAGATTGAAGCAATGTGCTACAGCAATATTAGATATGGTTTTCAACATCACATAATTCTTTAGAGATAAGGACTGACGTTTCCTAGGACATTTGCATTTTATAGAGCTGGCTTTGTGCGCAGACATTCATGTTGAAACAGAAAAGCCCTTCCCCAACTGTTTGGAAGAGCACAATTATGTGAAATCTCTGTATGCTGTAGAATTACCGGTACCTTTCCCCTGAAACCCCTGAACTTCTATAGTGCACACAGGGAAAGTACCGTACTTTTATACTCGGGCGTTGTGGAAGAACTGAGTGTGTGAATCCCATTACAGGAGCAGATTATCCTCTCTGCAGGGAGAGCGTTTATCAATACATCATTGTGTGACTGATCGTGTTTCTGTCACAGAAGAACATACAGTATGTATTACCTCTATATAAATTTTAAACTAGCATCATCTGGGTCATTGGGAAGTATATTTCTTCTGTCCTCAGCATTTCAATTAGTTCAGGCTGTCCTCGGTCTGCTGTCTCGTCAAGGGCAGCCGTGCTGTTCATCATGATGTTCAGAATACGGCCGTATTGCTTTGTGTATTCCCTGTTTTATACTTCATTGAGACGGTGGCATCCTGCATCCACTGGGCCCCCCCTTGCTCTACTTGTGCTTAGGTTGTCTGATAAAGTATGACACTAAAGAACATGGGCTGCTTGATTCTTGAGGTTGGTCTTCAGACAAATTGAAGCCAGTATCATCTAGCTTCTTGCGTAAGGCTACTTGCAGCAAGACACTTACAAGGTGGTGTCAACTAGTTTTGTAACATGCCAACAGATGACAGCACAAGGCTGCATGCAAAGTCACAGGGAGCACCGTCCCTCATAAGTCAGTGTGCTGAAAGACCTTGTCCTGTGTACATCGATATTGTAAAGCGCACTAATGGCTTATCTCCTGTGAATGTTAAAACAAACATACAGAGAGTCCATAAGTCCCAATAAAGTCCATAGGAAAGAAATAAGGAGAGGTGCTTTCTAAGTGCAGTTTAAAAAAACTATTTTAATAAGCCACAAATATAAAAGCTCACAAAATTGAGGTGATAAATGAGCCCATTAGTGTAATTTGCTGTAAAGCCGTCATCCGTGTCCTGCAGGGGTCCGTCCGGTGGGGTGATGGCTGCCGTAGGTGGTGGAAGGGGTCCAGAACGCTGTGGATAGTCAAGAGTCCTGGGAACTGTTGCCCGACCGGAACCAAAAGTGACTGTGACCAGCGTGAACCACAAGCCAGGCAGACATGACAAAAGGAAATTTGGCAATGAAGGAGAGAGGCTTAACCTCCTTGTAATGATGGATGTCTCACATTGTGCAGACAAATCCTGGGGATATAATCACTGCAGGGATGCCCATCCTCTTCATGTCCCTGAATTTCTAGC